ACAGTCACTACAATTATCCTGAAATAAGGGTGTTTGCTAAGTGCAGTTATTCAATCAAAATGATTGTGTGTGTTTATTGATCGTCATGTCTGTGGGTAGCCTACCTTTTTCCTATGAATCTTTCCCTAATCTGAGGAAGTCTTTCCATTTCATGCCGCTTGATAATGGCTAGTCAGCTACTGAACCCATTGAACTACAATGCAATCCTGTCTGATAACTTTCCTCAGTAATAATATATATATATATATATATATATATATATATATATATATATATATATATATATATAATATATATATATATACACACACACACACAGTTGTGTTCAAAATAATAGCAGTCAGACATCACTAACCTGATCAATCACTGTTTTTGGTAGAAATGATATTTCTACATGGCAAATAATTTACTAGCAGGTGTAGTAGAGTAATAGAAATTCAACAGACCCCAACAGTCATGACATGCATGCTGCTGATTCTGTGTAATTGAATCACTAATTGAAAGGGGCATGTTCAAAATAATAGCAGTGTGGAGTTCTATTAGTGAGGTCATTCATTCTTTGAAAAACAGGTGGCAATTATTGCCCTTATTTAAGGAAGGAAGGCAGCAAATGTTGTACATGCTGGTTACAGTGCATTTCTCTCTGAAATTCTGAGGAAAATGGGTCGTTCCAGACATTGTTCAGAAGAACAGCGTACCTTGATTAAAAAGTTGATTGGAGAGGGGAAAACAAATAAGTGCAGAAAAATGATAGGCTGCTCAGCTAAATGATCGCAAATGATTTTAAAATGGCAACCAAAACCTAAAAGACGTGGAAGAAAAGTGAAAAACTACCATTCGAATGGATAGAAGAATAGCCAAAATGGCAAGGACTCAGCCAACAATCCGCTCCAGGAAGATGAAAGAAGGTGTAAAGTTACCTGTGAGTACTGTTACAATTAGAAGACGCCTATGTGAAGCCAAGCTATCTGCAAGAAGCCCCCGCAAAGTCCCACTGTTGAAAAAAAGACGTGCTGAAAAGGTTACAATTTTGCCAAAGAGCACATTGACTGGCCTAAAGACAAATGGCGCAACATTTTGTGGACTGATGAAAGTAAGATTGTTCTTTTTGGGTCTAGTGGCCGGAGACAGTTTGTCAGATGACCCCCAAACACTGAATTCAAGCCACAGTACACTGTGAAGACAGTGAAGCATGGTTGTGCAGGCATCATGATATGGGGATGTTTCTCATAACTACGGTGTTGGGCCTATTTATCGCATACCAGGGATCATGGATCAGTTTGAATACATCAGAATACTTGAAGAGGTCATGCTGCCTTATGCTGAAGAGGAAATGCCCTTGAAATGGGTGTTGCAACAAGACAACGACCCCAAACACACCAGTAAACGTGCAACATCTTGGTTCCAGACCAACAAGATTGACGTTATGGAGTGGCCAGCCCAATCCCCAGATCTTAATCCAATAGAAAACTTGTGGGGTGACATCAAAAATGCAGTTTCTGAGGCAAAACCAAGAAATAGAGAAGAACTGTGGAATGTAGTCCAATCATCCTGGGCTGGAATACCTGTTCACAGGTGCCAGAAGTTGGCTGACTCCATGCAACACAGATGTACAGCAGTTCTCAGAAACAGTGCTTATACAACTAATTATTAATTAAGTGATTCAAAGGAAAGCAAAATCTTCAAACATTTTTCAGTTTTATATAGTGAATGTTTGAGTTTGTAAAAGAGAATACAAAACACTGCTATTTTTTTGAACAGTCTAATATTCACTTTTTCTTCAATTTTTTTAGAGGAACACAAATTTGATATATTTTTCTTCATGTTTTGATTTGGAATAGAATGTGTAGTGTTCCCAATGCATTTGTGTGTATGGAAATAAAAGCTATTAGAAGGATTTTGAGCTTTATTCACTTTTTTCAACACACTGCTATTATTTTGAACACAAGTGTACAGTTGTGTCCAAAATTATTCAACCCCCCAAACTGAAAATGAGTGTTTTGGCCCAGTTTGACATTGCTTTTGATCATTCAGTCATCTGCTTACATTTACATTAAAGAGGCACTTGTAGGTCAGACAAATATAACATAACAGTTATAATGAAATAACCACAAATGTCTTTTCTGTGCTCACAGCATTATCAGTTTTTATTCAACCCCCAAGTGACATTCAATATTAGTACTTAGTACAGCATCCTTTTACAGTTATAACAGCTTTTAAACGTGAAGCATAGCTTGACACAAGTGTCTTGCAGCGATCTACGGGTATCTTCGCCCATTCTTCATGGGCAAAAAGGCCTCAGTTCAGTCACATTCTTAGGCTTGCGCACTGCAACTGCTTTCTTTAAGTCCCACCAGAGGTTCTCAATCGGATTTAAGTCTGGTGACTGCGATGGCCACTCCAAAATGTTCCAGCCTTTCCTCTGCAACCATGCTCTAGTGGACTTGGAGGTATGCTTGGGATCATCATTGTCCTGTTGAAAGGTCCAACGTCTCCCAAGCCTCAGGTGTGTGACGGACTGCATCACGTTTCCATCCAATATCTCCTGGTACTGAAGAGAATTCATGGTACCTTGCACACGCTGAAGCTTCCCTGTACCTGCAGAAGCAAAACAGCCCCAAAGCATGATTGACCCTCCACCATGCTTCACAGTAGGCAAGGTGTTCTTTTCATCATAGGCCCTTGTTTTCTTCCTCCTCCAAACATAGCGTTGATCCATGGGCCCAAACAGTTATAATTTTTGTTTCATCATCCACAGAACACTATCCCACAACTTTTGTGGTTTGTCCTCACATGGCTTTTGGCATTCACTGCAGTCGACTCTTCTTATTCTTTGAGGACAGCAAGGGGGTACGAACCTGGGAGTTCTGGCACGGAGGCCTTCATTACGCAGTGTGCCGTCTTATTGTCTGGGATGAATGAAACTTCTGTACCCACATCTGACAAATCTTTTCTCAGTTCCTCAGCAGTCACACGGGGACTTCTCTCCACTCTACGCTTCAGGTAGCGCACAGCAGTCGAAGTCAGCATCTTCTTTCTGCCACGACCAGGTAGCGTTTCAACAGTGCCCTTTGCCTTGAATTTGCGAATGATGCTTCCTAAGGTGTCTCTTGGTATGTTTTCAACAACATCTTTGCAATCTTCTGTATAGCCATTTGCCCTTCCTGTGAAGAGAAATCACCTCTTCTCTTGTCTTCCTGGACCATTCTCTTGCCTTCACCATGTTTGTAACCACACCAGTAAATGTCTAGAAGGAGCTGAGTATCACAGTCATTTTTAAAGCTGCCTAATTGGTGCTTATTATGCTTGATTGGCTGCTCGCGGGACATCCACAGTGTTTTCAATACCTGATGGAAAGCACCTGTATGAACCTCTGTTCTTCAGAGTGGTAGTCTTTAAGGGTTGAATAATTGTGGGCAATGAAGAAACCACATAAGAACCATTTACTACTGTATTACATAAACAATTGATGTCATTTTTAGTTTGCATTTGGGTAGTTACAACGTCCTTGTAGGATTTGATTCTGAATACAATTCCAAATGTACACTATAGTCCCTAAACCCCTTTACAGCATTGGGGGTTGAATAATTTTGGGACACAAACTGTATAATGTATATATATATATATTTTTTTTTAAATTAACCCATTCATTTTGCATGTTTATAGGCATGCAAATACGGTATGACTGCTCTGAGCTCTTCATATTGTAATTTCGGATACTGATCCTTCAAGTAAATGTGCGTGACTAGGAGTGGGGTTATTGCTGCCAGACCAGTTTATCAAGGAGAAACAATATTAACTGGACAGTTTTTCTACTCGAATACAGTAGTGTCCTGTCCAGATTTAGATTCTTTCCATGTGATTTACACTGGATCTGTTAAAAAAATAAAATCTATTCTCTCTCAGAAACAATTATTACTGAGAACAAAAGTAGCTAATAGTCATATCACATCAAAGGCAAGATTACACTTTTATTATTACCGGTTGTTTATGCAAGTTTTGCATGCATGATGAAATACTGTTCTTCTACCATGTTTCAGGCTGTAATGTAAGACATGCATTACCACAAGGTGCAGATCCCTTTGTCTGGATGGAGAATGCAGGCTGCAGCCTGAATAAACACCCTCTATAAGCCTTGGTAAAACAGTAGGGCAAGAAATAATAAGTGTCTCCTGGAAAGTATTAGCCGTTCACAGAGTGTTTTTACTTGTTGCCTGTTTTTTGTAGCCATTCACAGAATGTTTTTACTTGTTGCTTGTTTTTGTTTAAGTAGAATATGAAATGTTATGACTCTGTTGGAAGTGGTTTGTAATGGTCAGAAGGTCTGTTACACATGCATGTGAGTGCAGCTTTCCCCCAGCCTCCATTTCTACTCACCTGAGCCCAATCTCAAGCCAGTGGTGTGCATGAGTACTGAGGCTCCCGCTGTGTGGAGGGATTGGGAAAGTGGGGGGGGGGGGGGTGCAAGACGTGCTCTGTGTGTGTCTTATGGACACACAGAGGTGGCTCAGAAACGGTCCTGCATGTGTGCCCCCATAGCAAGCAGCTTGCTATGGTGGGCACTCGGTGGGGATATGGGGGCCTGGAGCGCTGGCTTGGGACCCAAGAAGAGAGGGATCGGGGCTGCTGTTTGCAAAACCATTGCATGGAGTGTGACATGGTGTTTTTTTTTTTTTTTTTGTTTTTTTTATACGAACCTTTAAAATCACTTCAATTATATTTTAACACGACTTTATTTTTTCATGAGGAAGAATGCAAACCTTTCACATTGAGAAAGATAGCTTATGGTAGTTTTTTTAGTTTTTCTGTTCAGTAATCCATTTTTCATAGAAGGCTAATAAAAGCCCACCAGCTGTTCTCAGCACAGTCTTCTTCTCCTACAGCCCTTTTTCTCTTGGCTTCTTTGTTTAGCACATGATAAGACTGCAATTCAGAGTATGTGGCTGCAAACAATGCTGTACATTTTCTTCACTAATTGTCTTCATTTCTCTTACTTTCAGGATAAAAATGAGTCATATGAAGCCGTATGTAATATCCCCATTATCACATCTCCAAAAGAAGAAGAGAAGCTGATTGAATCATCTGCCAAGGTACACACTTCACTCCTGCATTGTCCCAGCCAACAATTAGGTTAGCTTGGTGTTGGTCCCATAAAAATGTGTCTAGATCTCATCATATTTTTCACCGTTGAACAAAGGCTTATCTGTCATTCACCTTTAGAATAATAAGGGGTTAATGAGCCTATTGTAATGGTTTGAACTTGAATCCAGGTGGAGTTTGCATATTAGGACATTGCTTACTAGTTCCTCATTCAAATTAGAATACAAAGGCTTAAAATACATTGTATTGTAAATGATCATTCATTTATTGCCACTAAAGGATAACAAATCAAAACAAAAAATATCTTTAGTCAGGGCTCTGAAGTCAGATATTAAAAAAAAAGGAAAACCTATATTTAGCAGTTTGATGACCTACTATAAGCAGAGTATAGAGTTGGACACCAACCGATATTAATTTATAGTGTTATATTTTATAGTGTTCTTCTGCTTTTGTGTTTGTTTTTACTTGTAGTATTTTGGTGTTTTTTTGTTTTGTTTTTTTAATTGCATTAGAATTACAGTATCAACTGTAGAGACAAAAAGTCTGCCTTGTTTCACATCACATTTAATAAATCTTAAGCAGGGTGTCTCAACCTTTTTTCAGTCAAGGCTCCCTTAAAAATTCTGCACAATATTGAAGAATCACTCTAAAATGTAAAAAAAAAACAAATCTAATTGTTTTACATATCGCAGCAACATTCACACATGTAGGACACCCAACATTGGAGGTAATTTGTTCCATCAAAGCAAATACACCTTTGCACATTGATACTGACTAGTATTGCAATGTTTCCTCCCTCATTCAGCTAATGTGACCCCAGTGCTGATGGAAAGGAACAAGGGAGGTTCAAATAAGGATGTTGTGCAGGTGCCCGACATCCTCCTTACTAACAAATGTTGTCATTGATTGTTACGGTGCCGGCAGCTAGAAGGTTGTGATGGTACACAGAGAAAACCTATAGCTTTGTGTAACTAAAAGGCAAGCATGATTCAGCTGCTTGCTTGTATACAATTTTTGGGTAATTTTTAGACATTTTGCCTAGGCAACCCTGAAGAAACTCTGGTTGAAAAGGGCTGATCTAAAGTCATAAAATCAAACTTTTTTTTTTTTACATGTTTTGGATAGAGTGGTGAGTAGTTAAATTCCCTGTCAGTTTTTTACTACTGTCTGTGTCTGCATTAGAGATATTCACCCTCTGATTTTATCCTGTTGACTGTTGTCACAGGACTAAACTTGAGAAAAAATCCACAGCTGCTTACAGCCAGTTACATGTAGGCAATAAAACCTTGGCAGATTTCCTGTGAATAATCCATTATATAGCACAAGGTAACATGTAATGTTTGTGTTTTCCTAACAGCCTGTTGTCAAACTCCTGTATAACAGAAGCAACAACAAGTATTCATACACCAGGTATGTACTGTTATCAAATACATGCCAGTATGTACAGCACTGTTTGCTCTCGACTCTCTTAAAAGTCTGGAAAGTAATACAAGTGTGTGAGGGTGAAATTAAAAAAACTTATTGATTACATCCCAGCAAAACATGAATTGGGTGAGTGCATTTTTCTTCCCTTATTGAGTGTGGAATATCGATCAGCTGAGAAAATCCATCTTTGCAAAAGGACATGGAAAGAGCTTATAGATATATGGTTGTTCCTCCATCTAGCCTTTTGGAGAAAGTTCTCTGTCTGTAAGCACTTTAAATTCCAGGCTATTGAACTAGTCTAGAGAGGAAATAGTCCTTATTGTAGACAGATTTTGTTTGGAAAGGGTTATTTGGGGTAGTGGATTATACAAGTCAATAAACAAAAGATTGATTTTAAGAAACTCCTTTGACAAACAAATCCATACTGCATTAAATTGTCTAATGCATACTGACTTTAAAAGTGCACTGTACACCTTATCTTAATCCTACAGTACAAGATACAACAGAGTATTCATAGGCTTCTTCCTTCAGATGATTGGACACTGGCAGAGATTTTCAGGTCATACACACCCTGGGCGCCTCCCCTATTACCCTTCCTCACTTCATGAGTCCTCAGTTTTTTTGCTAGTGTCCTAAGGTAATGGACCTCTTCTTCCTTACAGAGAAATCACTCTTAGCTTAACTTGTTTATTATATTATGTTTCAGATTCCTCACTGTCTGCTAATAAAACAATAGAAGCAGTTCATCTGGGTTGGTAAAACTTTGGGAGCCATACCTGGAACCAGACCCAACGCCATGGGGAAGGCCTGTAATGTTGCTTCGGGTACTGGATCCTGCATGGCCGCTCACCTCAGCACTTTGTGTAATGTGTAGTTAGCTGCTAAAGTTGTCGCTAAAACGTAACCCCTCAGAGCTTAGTCTCAGTTGGATACAAAGGAATTGTGTCACACTTTCAGCCGGCTGAGAGCCCTTATAAGGTACTCGGGCATTTCCCCTTACCCTTTTATCACAAGGACTTTGCTACAGGATGGTCTACACCTGGGTTGCTGCATTCTCCCTCTGGACATACTTGCCTTAGTTTCCGATCTCCACTAATTTAGTGCCCTACAGGGCAGTGGAGGAACTACCAAGGTCGCACTTGTGACCGGGCCCTGGCGTTCTACCACTGTGGGTGGACCCCAACTGGGTTGATGGACGCAGGGCTCTGAGCTGAGAGCACCTCTTTCATGCAGCCCCGAGCCTGCACTGACCGTTCCCCCTCCCTATTTCCTTGCATGGATGGGAGAGGAGAAAGAGAGCTGATCTGCTCTTTCTCCTTCTGTGTGTGCACCACAGGAAGTGTGAAGCCAATTGATGAGCACTAAGAGTCCTAGTATATTTTCATAATGTGATATTAATAATCATGCTAGTGCTGCATGCATATCTTCACACAGAAAATCCTCAGAAGAAATCCTCAAAACAATCCGTGGTCCTATAGTGTCTTCTATAGTATATTTAAAAAAATTATGAAATATAGTCCACCAGATTTATTTATTTATATATACTGTGCTCCTTCACCAGTTGTGCTCTCACCTGATGTTTATGAACAAACCTTTAGGTGAGGTTATACAAGCTTGTGTCCCTTTAATTGGGCTCAGAATTGGACAGATGGGTAAATCCCTCTTTCCCAGATGGATGGAGTTTTTCCTTTTTCCAGCAGGGGGTCTCGCCGTTATCAAGAGATCCTTTTCCTGGATGTGGATGGAGTTATCCCTCTTCCCACTAGGGGGTCTCTTAGCTCCTTTCAGACTTTTTCCTCCATGTATGTGTGTTCCCTCCTCTGCTGCCACTTCCAGCAATGCGAATATTCCTTCTTTACTTTCTCAGCTAACCCAACTGCTCTCTTCTTGGCAGTCTATGTCCTTAGCTTGGTTTGGTAGGGCCCAAGCGAACAAAATGACTTATCTTCCCAAGCTACTCTATCCTTTTTGAGTGCTCCCTGTTCGGATTCTGTCCCATATACTCCGCATACGGCAATATTGGAGGATAAACATGATAAGTTTCTTAATATTTGGAAACCATGGGTGGATTATTGGCCAGTTTCTCGTTTTACTGCGAAATTTACTAATCTGTGATGTGTTTGGTTTAGCCTCTCCCCTTCCCTTATGTGGGGATCGTGTCTCCCGGCTCTCCCGCCATGGCGAACTCCTTCTCTTGCTGGTCTGTTTCTCTCTTTCTCTCTGCTCTCTTCTTTCCTTTGTTTTCCTGTTTTCCCTGTTTGAGTCTTTTTTTTTTTTCCTCTTTCTCTCCTTTTTTTTTTTTTTTTGTATGGTTTGTTTAAATTAAATCGATTGTCTGTCACTTATATTTGCTTTCTTACAAGTCTATGATTCTCAGGGACAACATTGCCTTATGAGAACGTAGCTCTCTGTTTATTCTTTTTGTTGCTCTTTTTTTTTATATATAACTTTAAAATTCTTGAAAGTGGTTGCGAGCTTCGCGGCCCTTTACCTTCAATAGTGTCATCTGGACCCCCGCTTGAGTCTTGTTTGTATATCTCTGTGCCTGCTGGGTGTTGTTTTCCCTATCTTTTGTTGTTTGTTACCGCTCTGTATCATACGATTTGTTATGGTTTGTTTGTTTCTTTCTTTCTTTTTTACATGCCTAATAAAATTTTTCGTAAAAGAAAGGGAATTGACTGCAGTTATCATCCCAGTATAAACACTTAGACCTGGTGACATACATGTACGTTATCCGGTCTTAAAATATTTAATACAGCCACCTCTCTCCAGGGCTCCATAACATCAGGCCCTATGTCAAGCTTCACCACCTTAGAGGAGGCTGCAGAAGATTTCTCACCCCCATACCCCTATACTTGATTCTCCTCCGTCTTGCCATGCTCCTTTGAGTACAAAGAGACTGATTAAATCTTCAAAGACATTTCCCATTAATGAGCAATAGAATGGGCAATTTATGACAAATATAATGTCAGAGTGATGCCGTGCATAATGATTTATGTCATGCTGCGCACTATGATTTAAAGTGTGCGTTATCTTGCACATATTTTTGCTGCAGCTTATTTGCAACACTTTTTACACAGCCAGTTGTGTGGTATTTTCTGTTCATTAATTTATGACAAATATCATTGCTGAGCTTTATATAGTGGAAAAAGTACACTAAAACTGGTCTGTTCAGGTATGTGGTCCTGCGACTTCAGTTTTAAACTTCTCACTGTACCAATTAAAGATGTTCCCTCATTCAAACATTCTTTCTTTTTACTTGCAGCTAACTGATCTAGGGCAATGAACAACCACCACAATCCTGGATCCCAGGACAATGTCTTAACTAAGCAGTTAGAGTAGTTATTCCTAAGAGTGGAGGGTTGTCTGATACAGTTGGCCTCTCTCTGGGACCCAGGCGTTCGCTTGGTGGTTTCAAAGGAACACAAAATAGAGTTCAAAATCCTACCCTTGCACCAATTTCATTTCTCAAATCAACACAAATCTGCCCAAGGACAGTCAGATTTGCCAAAAGTTGCTTGCTCTGGGAGGACTCGGCAGGAGGGGGGTGGCAGCAGCGACAGCGGGGGACCCAAGAAGAGGAGGATCAGGACTGCTTTGTGCAAAACCATTGCACAGAGCAGGTAAGTATGACATGTTTTGTTATCTTTAAAAAAATGCCTTTAATATCACTTTAACCCAGTAAACTGTTGAAGCCTAGTTCTTATGAATCAGAGGGGTCTCTGAGTCTGTTATTCCTATCTTGCTAAAAGTAAGAAAAACCACTTCCAGAAAGGTTATTATCATACCTGGAAATCCTTCATTGGTATAAAAATAGGCACTTCAATCCCAGATTATTCTGTGCTTCGCATTCAGGCCTGTCTACAATTGGGACATGACCAGAACTGGGTCTTAAACTGGAAGAAAAGCCAAACTGTAACTATTCATAAAAATGTTCCCTCCCATCTTCTGCCTATCCTGCTTAACCTGTATAAAAAAGGTTTGTGTACTTACCTATTTTCTATCCATTGCAGTTCAGTAATGTGATCCTGCAGCTCTGTGTAAGGGAGTGCTTGACAACAGCTGGGAATTCCGGGAGCTGTGATGTTACCCATAGGTTCCTATGGCCCAGCTATTGTTGGAACTTTGATGTTGGGTTTCTCCTTGTTGTTGGGCCTGTTTGCACAGTTCTGTTTGCCTATTAGTTGACTGCCCTTTTCATTCATTGTTTGAGGATGCCCTGGGGTCTGTAAATACTCAGTTTGCTACAAAACTAAGCACTGAGGGACAAGGGGAGGGTGCATGCCTTCAAAAGCTTTGCCAGTGTCCAATTACCTGAAGACACCGAGATATGAAATTTACAAGTAAGCCAAATTCCTCCCTTGTGCCGTGACAGTTAAAATGTGTATATATTTTAACAATCAAGCTTTGTTAAATTCTATACCCAGTAGAGCAAAAAAGAGTTTTTTAAGGTGTTTCAAAATTCCTCCACTTGTACAAAATGTAATACTAATGGTAGCTGTAGGAGTGGGATGTTAGAAATTCAAATTGATGGCTCTCACAAAAAAGGCTTGTATCCAACATGGCATTTGCCATGCTAGAGTTTATTTGCCATCAGATTAGATTGTCTAGACTGGTGGTTCTCAACCTTAGTACCAAGGTAGGGTATTTTTCTTCCAGAGCATTTCATGCCCCAACAGTTATGTACTGTTGCTGAAATAAAAGAACTGCCAAGGCACCCTAAAGTGCCTGAAATGGTACATGAGCCCAGTGCTCAACCGCAAGTTGCTGTATGTTGCTTTAGCACGTTGGGGAACTTTATTGAGCCTGCCAAGCATGCAATGAGATCCCAACTGAGCAATCATCTGCACTGATGCATTTCATCCTTACAGGGTTGCTCTATAACTATGCTCAGAAGCGTGAAACACATTAGAAGAGGGACGGTCTTCAGGCAGGGATGTCAGTGTTTGTTTGGCTGGCTGAATAAAATTTTAACATAGATGTGATGTCATCATTGTGCAGCCACTTGTTTCCTTGAGCCAGAGTGTATGGAGTGTGAAGGTGCATGAAAGCAAATAAAACGAGAGAAACGGAGTTTGGAGCGATGGCATTTCTGATTGTGTATTCCTATACTGTTGTATAAGTAGAAACTTTTTCCACCTGCTTAGTGCATGCTAGGTATGTCTGGTGATCTACCTTACAGTCATGAAATCATAACAATCAAAAGGTAGATCAGTACACATGAAGCTAGCATTAGACTGATCACACATCTGTTGAGCTGAAGATCACTTAACTAGGTGTGTATACAAATGTGTATACAAAAACGCACTTGGGATTCTAAAACTTTGGTGTAAAATAGCAGTAGAAGATTGATAAGGTCATTTTAGTACTCACTATGATCTTTATTTAAAAAATACTTTATTTGATTTATTCATAAATGTAAAGCTGCATTCATTTGTTTCTTTTATAGCTACCTATAGTTAAGCTTTAATAAAGTGATATAATGGCATTTTAGGCTATGATACCGGTAGACTTTAGTTTTGTCATAAAGAAGACATTGGGAAAGCAGAGCTGAAAAAAGTCAGCATTATACCCCTTTAATACCTGCCTATTACTGGAAGTAGGCTTTTTGATATACAAGAAAACCAGGGGGGTGACTTATTCCATTAGACTCCACTCAATGACAACATCATCACTTTTATGTAGAGTCTTTAAAGGCAATTACAATATAATGTGCAATTATTTGTATTCATGAATTTCTGCAATTCAACTACAGTTTGCATTACTTCTTAAATGGCAAGGCTTGGCACCGTACAAAAGTACACACCAGTGAATACGAGTTCTGATGATAAGCAGACACCTTTCAAATGCAGTATGTATACAGCGCACACATATGAGTGGGCTTCTAAAGAAGCAAAGAAAACATTTCTGATTTTATTCATGGAAAATAAGTGATTTCGTATTTTCTCTTACTAGAAAACAATATGTACAAAAATTATAATGAAGTGAAATCTATGTTGGATATTTCAGCAACTCTGATGACAACCTTTTGAAAAACATTGAGCTTTTTGACAAGCTCTCCCTCCGATTCAATGGACGAGTTCTATTTATGAAGGATGTGATTGGAGATGAAATCTGCTGCTGGTCTTTCTATGGTCAAGGGAGGAAACTGGCAGAAGTTTGCTGTACTTCCATTGTTTATGCCACTGAGAAGAAGCAAACAAAGGTAATTTTCTTTTATCCCCTTCTATTGTCAAACGTTTTGTAAAACCTGATCATGGTGAAGTAGACCTTCTATAAAAGAATAAATTGTAGTTTTCTCTTCATTTCTTTGTAACATTTAAAAACATTTCTTTGTAACATTTAAAAAAAAAAAGATGTTAAAACATTGTGTTGTATTCTTAAGAGCATAGCCACACCCGTTGTACAGCCCTGGCCAAATATTTTGAGAATGACACAAATATTAATTTACCTGCAAGGAAACACATGCAGTCATCATTGCTTTGCACAAAAAGGGATTCACAGGCAAGGCTATTGCTGCTACTAAGATTACACCTAAATCAACCATTTATCAGATCAAGAACTTCAAGGAAAGAGGTTCAATTGTTGTGTAGAAGGCTTTCATGGTGCCGAAGAAAGTCCACCAAGTGCCAGGACCGTCTCCTGAAGTTCATTCATCTGTGGGATTCGGGGCATCACCAGTGCAGAGCTTGCTCAGTAATAGCAGCAGGCAAGTGTGAGTGTATCTGCACTCACAGTGAGGCGAAGACTTTTGGCGGATGGCCTGGTGTCAAGAAGGGCAGCAAAAAATCCACCTCTCTCCAGGAAAGACATCAGGAACAGACTGATATTGTGCAAAAATACAGGAATTGGACTGCTGAGGACTGGGGTAAAGTCATTTTCTCTGATGAATCCCCTTTCCAATTGTTTGGGCATCTGGAAAAAACCTTGTCCGGAGAAGAAAAGGTGAGCGCTACCATCAGTCCTGTGTCATGCCAACAGTAAAGCATCCTGAGACCATTCATGTGTGGGGTTGCTTCGCAGCCAAGGGAGTGGGCTCACCCACAATTTTGTCTAAGAACACAGCTTGTATAAAGAATGGTACAAAAATATCCTCCGAGAGCAACTTCTCCCAACCATCCAAGAATAGTTTGTTGATGAACAGTGTATTTTCCAGCATAATGGAGCACCTTGCCATAAGACAAAAGTGACTTTGGGAACAAAACATTAACTTTTTGGGTCCATGACTAGGAAACTCCCCAGACCTTAATCCCATTGAGAATTTGTGGTCAATCCTCAAGAGGCAGGTGAACAAAGCCCCCCCCCCCCCCCCCCCATTTCTGACAAACTTCAAGCATTGATTGTGCAAGAATGGGCTGCCATCAGTCAGTATGTGGCCCAGAAGTTGATTGACAGCATGCCTGGGCGAAATGCAGTGGTCTTGAAAAAGAATATTTTTAAGAATATTGACGTTTTGCATAAACCTCATGTAATTGTCAATAACAGCCTTTTGACACTTATGAAATGCTTGTAATTATACTTCAGTATACCATAGAACATCTGACAAAAAGATCTAAAAACAGTGAAGCAGCATGTTTCTGAAAATTAATATTTCTGTCATTCTCAAAACTTTTGGCCAGGGCTGTATGTTGTTGATTGCAGCTTTTTATCCATCTCTGCACCATTGAGACTACAGCTTATGCTGGGTACACATACTCAGTCTTTTTTTTTTTTTTTCGTTCAACCCCACTGGCTGGCCATGCATCGGTTTTGAAATTTGGCCGATTCAGCAGGAATCAGTCAAATTTCGATCCCTGTATGGCTATTCTTGTTTGAGAGGAGTTCATATAGACTGTAAGTATATTGTCACTCAATCAGCACTTGCAGCCAATCAACTGCAGTGCTGATCATTGTATTCTGGAGTCCCACTGCCAGAATACAGTAGCACAGCAGGGGGATTCCGCCCTCCTCTTCTTCTCCACTCTCAGCACATCCATAGGCTGCTCTGTTCGCTCTCTGTCAGCCTTCCTCATCGCTGTCAGCCGGCACACATCTTCCTGATATCAGCACGAAAAATAAAAAGCAAACAGGAGATCAAATACCACTGAAAGAAAGCTCTATTTGTGTGACAAAAAAGACTTAAATTTTGTTTGATTACAGCATTGCATGAACGGGCAAATATCAGTTGAATTAGTGCAGCGCCGAGTAGCAAAAAGAGGCCTTGTCATTAAGATATCGTTGATGTGCAGTGGAGGAGCAGTGCTTTCTTTGGTGGAGCTGTGATTATTTTTCTGCCATCTAGTGGATTTCCTCTGCCTAGCTCTGTATCATCGTGTGGACCTTCATTGATCAAGGGAATACATCTACCCTCTCAATGCTGATGACTACCTTTTGAACTCCATCCTTACTACACTGCACTATTTATGTGCACTTCTGGGCAGTGTGCATTGTTACCCTAGGTCACCTTAATTGGGACTTTTTTATGAATATATTTTTTTGTGTCACATTTAAATTTCTAGCGCTGCACTTTATATTTTATTTTCATGTGAGGATTTTTTGGTTATCCTGTGTGCTTCAGCTGCTTGTCTATTGAAAGCACTCACTTCTTTGTTCTCTGTTTTATAGGGGGATTCCCCCGTCCACCTCGATTGTGTTTTTTTTTTTTGTTTTTTTTTTATGTTTGTTTTTTTTCTTTTGGATTAGTTGGCTGACTGATCAGAAAGAACTGATCAATTTATGGCCAGCTTTATAAGGTCAATTTCATTTTATCAGCAAGTTGTTTGAGAGCATTGTGCAATGCTGTAGAACTTTATTGGCTCACATCTTACTTTATTTTTCTTCCAACCATGCAGGAGCCGATATAAAGCCACATTGACATGTTTTTTTGTTGTTGTATTTTTTTAAGTTTTTTGTTTTAATCTATGGATTCAGAACAGGAATTAAATGTGGGTCTACTTCTCATTAGTTCTAGTTTCATTGAAAATTAAAAGAACTTTTTCTTTGTATCTCCTCTCAGGTTGAATTTCCTGAAGCACGAATTTATGAAGAGACATTAAATGTTTTACTCTATGAAACCCCAAGAGTACCTGACAACTCTTTGTTGGAGGCCACAAGCCGTACACGCAGCCAAGCATCTCATAGCGAAGATGATGATGGTTTTGAGCTTCGTGACCGGGTTAGGCGCATTCACGTTAAGAGATACAGCACTTATGATGACAGACAACTTGGCCACCAGTCTGCTTACAGGGATTGACTGCCTACAGTAAAGATGTTGCATAGGAATGTGGTGAAGACCTCTTTGCCTAGAGAAGTTTATAGCCATAGTCTTCAGTTTGCTGCATCACCATTATTATGCATGATAATAAGTCATCAGCACCATATGGATGACTATAAGTTTTTCTGGACAGTGGAGTTAAACTCCATTCTAGCACATATTAGACACAAAAGACCTGATGTCCTCCTAGACATTTTAATTGAAGAAAAACCCTTACATTGCCTATTCAGGGCTTGTCCTTTTTGCATCGCTCAGCTATTGTCACATAGTGGCTTTAGTGGATACATGGAAGTACCATCTCAATGAGCATTTCCCTCATTTGCTTTACTTACATAGAGTACTGGCAAAAGGTTTTATATCTGCCTCTTACTGGGAGATTCACTCCATACTCTGACAGTAGTGATGGCTATTTTGTATGGTGCACATGTGAACCTCTAACTTTGACTGTAAGTAATTGTTTTAAGTGATAGTTAAGCAGTTCGGAACAACACAGAAATATGCAGATTTTCTTTTTTCAGCAGGATGTAGTAACAGTTTCACACCAACTGTGCCTTTTTACACTGAATGCACATTTGAAGACCTAAAGCGTATTAGGGCTAAATGAAATACGCTGATCCACAACAGCAACTCAGAATTGATTTTCCCTGATACAGTTGAGGCAAACTGAAATCCACTGTCATGGGTTACTGAGTATTTTTCATTGCTCCTTACATTGTCTTATTAAGGTGGTTCTGTTATGAGAGCAGTATGGGAGCTGACATCACAGGCTTCCCTCTGAAAATGCCAGATTCCTGGTTTTGGCTGTCTTTGAAATTTTTTATTCACAGTCCAGAACATGCATGATGTAAATAAGTGCCAGGACTCCTCATCTTTGTATACGCTTTCTGGGTCAGCCACTCATCCATCTTTGAAGTCAAAGAATTGGATTAACAGCCAAGCAGCTGTCATTCTCAAAGGAGAGTTCAGTAATGGCAGCCACCATTATTCTATCATGAAAGTGTCCCTTTAGGTAAGACCACTTTAGTGAAGTGCACACCTAGAGGACATATGTGGGCTTGTGGCAACCAACTGCTGGTAGGATGAGGTCAGATGGGAACTGTCAATGCCCATCACTTTCAGTAGCTTTAAACAAGTAGTTCTCTGACCCTCTTTGCAGTTTAGATCATGCTCCATGTGACTGGGCTATGGAATTTTGTATTCAATTACACTGCACTGCTGCATATCTCAGTGTGTGCCACATCACTAAGACATTGCTTGCAATGTTTTACAGAAAAAGGAAGACCAAGATGGTAATTTGACTGTGTTTCTTGATTCAGTACACTACTACATATCTCATTGTTTGAAAAGAAAGGCAGCAGCAGTACTGCAGCTTAGAAAGTATCTTTTTGATACCAGCCTAAGACATGAACTACTTTCTTCAATTCTGCAACTGTCTACTACTGAAAGATGAGATGTGGTTTATTGTTGAAGTGGCCAGACTCTATCAAGCTTATTTAAAAGCTAAGGTCACCTTTCTTTGAAAACAATTGACTATGTCTAGGCCAGCAAATCAAAGTATTAAAGCCAGAGATTTTCAGCTGTAGTAGATAATTGCACTCTGTACATTTTTCACAGTATTTTTTTTTTTTTATGGCTGAGTCTGGAGAAAAAGGAAGAATGCAGCAGTCCTATAAATCTTGGCTTCTATTTATTTATCTTTAACACTTTTCTTCTCCTTTAGAATTTTAATTTTGTGTTAAAATTAAAAATTAGGTTTTTTGCAGTAGGAAAAGACCACTTCTTTTAGTTGGTCTGCTTGATGTCTTTTAAGTCTACTTAATAGAAAAGCAGCTAGCTACTATGTGTATGAAGTTTTACTTTTATGTTTTAGTATATAGTTAGAATTGGAACTTTAAACCTTTTTTGATGAACAACGTATGTAGGCGTGTTTTAATAAGGCAATGATCTAGTGTTTCACATTTCTAATGTTTTGCCTTTCTTAATAAGGGTTTATGACCATTGCATGAAATGTTATGTCAGTCCACTTTAAAGGGCTGTTTTGCTTACAGAATGATTCTGGTAGTTTTTTTTGTAACAAGTTCTCACCTGCCTTAGACTTTCAAGTTTGAAATTATCTATAATGTTACATTTAAAGTTCATCTTTTTTAGAAAATAGCCAATTCAATCATGGGGCCCCAGGAGATATTAAAAAACTGTGCAGCAGTGCAAAATGTTCCTTCATTTTATTGTCACACCTGTAGGCCTTTTGTGCCCCCTGGAAGATTGGCTGAAAAACTCCCCACATCTGTCTAGCCTAGGATTTGAAACTTGTTGGATTCTCTCTTCCAGCATTACAGGAACACAGGAGTTTTTTGTGTCCCATCAGCAGGCAGGATGTGGGGATTGCTTAACAGGGAGTTTATTTTTATTGACCAGGCTATGGGGGCCTAAACGACCTACATGTATGACAAAATCCATGAACAGTTTACAAAGCTGTACAGTGTTTTTTATATATATATATATATATATATATATATATATATACAGTTGCAAGAAAAAGTATGTGAACCCCTTGGGATTACGTGGATTTTTGCATGAATTGGGCATAAAATGTGCTCTGAACGTCATCTAAGTCACAACAATAGAAGAACACAGTCTGCTGAACATAATACTACACAAACATTAGATGTTGCCATGGTTTAATTGTACATAACATGTAAACATTCACAGTGCAGGGAGGAAAAAGTACGTGAACCTTTGGACTTAATAACTGGTTGACCCTCCTTTGGCAGCAATAACCTCAACCAAACGTTTCCTGTAGTTGCAGATCAGACCTGCACAACGATCTGGAGTCATTTTGGACCACTCCTCTTCACAAAACCGTTTCAGTGTAGCAATATTCTTGGGATGTCTGGTGTGAATCGCTCTCTTAAGGTCATGCCACAGCATTTCAATTGGGTTGAGGTCAGGACTCTGACTGGGCCACTCCAGAAGGCGTATTCTGTGCTGTTGCAGCCATTGTTTTGTTGAATTACTTGTATGCTTTGGGTCATTGTCCTGTTGCATCACCCATCCTCTGCGGAGCTTCAGTTGGCAGACAGATGGTCGTACATTTTCCTGCAAAATGTCTTGATAAACTCTGGAATTCATTTTCCCATCAATGACAACTATCCGTCCAGGCCCTGAGGCAGCAAAGCAGCCCCAAACCATGATGCTCCCTCCGCCATGTTTTACAGTGGGGATGAGGTTTTGATGTTGGTGTGCTGTGCCTTTTTTTCTCCACACATAGCGTTGTGTGTTCTTCCCAAACAACTCAATCTTGGTTTCATCTGTCCACAGTATATTTTGCCAGTAGTGCTGTGGAACATCCAGGTGCTCTTTTGCAAACTTCAAACGTGCTGCAATATTCTTTTTGGACAGCAATGGCTTCCTCCGTGGTGTCCTCCCATGTACTCCATTCTTGTTTAATGTTTTCCTTATTGTAGATGTGTCAACAAAAATGTTAGCATGTGCCAGAGATTTCTGTAGGTCTTTAGCTGACACTCTGGGATTCTTCTTTACCTCATGCAGCATTCTGCGCTGTGCTCTTGCAGTCATTTTTACAGGACGACCACGCCTAGGGAGAGTAGCAACAGTGCTAAACTTTCTCCATTTGTAGACAGTCTGTCTTACCGTGGACACATGAACATCAAGGCTTTTGGAGATACTTTTGTAACCCTTTCCAGCTTCATGCAAGTCAACAATTCCTGATTGTAGGTCTTCTGAGAGCTCTTTTCTGCGAGGCATGGTTCACATCAGACAGTGCTTCTTGAAACCAGTGAACCCCAAACAGGTGTGTGTTTTTTAAGGGCAGGACAGCTGTCAGCAACACATCCAATATCATCACACTGATTGGAGTCAAGGTTGGCTCACTCCTGGCTCCAATTAGCTCTGGGAGAAGTCATTAAGCTAGGGCCTCACATACTTTTTCCTCCCTGCACTGTGAATGTTTACATGTTATGTGCAATTAAACCATGGCAACATCTAATGTTTGTGTAGTATTATGTTTAGCAGACTGTGTTCTTCTATTGTTGTGACTTAGATGACGTTCAGAGCACATTTTATGCCCAATTCATGCAAAACTCCACATAATCCCAAGGGGTTCACATACTTTTTCTTGCAACTGTGTATATATATATATATATATATATATATATATATATATATATATATATATATATATATATATCTACTGGGGCCCCTGGACTGCATAGGTGATTTTCTAGAAATTATGAACTTGGCCTTTAAACTTGACTAGCAGGAGTGGAATACGGTTGTAATGGCTATGACTGGTTTGGCAAAATGGGACCTCTAATGTTGGTGGCATAGTTGCCTGGCATTGAATGAGATTGGTATCACAGTCTAATTATTGTAGGGAAGAAGAAATGGTTTCAAAGGTAGGTTTTTTTTTTTTAATAAATACTGTCACAAGTCAGCAATGGCAACCACTATATTTTTCTGTTTCTTTTAAACTACGTTATTTCACATTAAAGTAGAACTGTAGCTAGGTGAAGGGCATTCAATGTTTACAAAAACTAAACAAATATATGAATTTTAAAACAACACTTCATTGACCTGTATAGTTACAGCGATTGTGAGAAAACTCATTCTAAAAATTTACAATAGAAGCTGTGAAGTTGTTCAAGTCAGGGTCTTAGCACTTCTCTCTGTCCCTCTTCCTGTGTGCATCAGTGTTTTAATTAGAGCAGCCTTCTGGTACATTACCACTAAGCAAAGTCCACAGCATGAGACTAGTGCTTAGTGCTTGTTTCTTGTGTAGGTAACCACTAAAACCAATGATTATGCTAGCTGTCTGTAAAGATGGCATTCTTCCCACTGGCCACCAATGTAAGGGGCATTCTTCCATTTGACCAACATGGTAACAGGACTTTCTTTTCACTTACCAGCAGGTGAAAGGGGTTCATCTTCCATTAACCATCAGTGTGGTGCTGCTAATATAC